GCTGAACCCGTCTCCGACCGACGGGACGAGTCCGGACGCTCAGTCCGGGAACTGTAAAAACTTGCAGAAGGAGAAAATCCCTGAAAACCTCCTGTCGGATCTCAGCTTGCAGAGCCTGACGGCGCTCACCTCCCAGGTCGAGAACATTTCCAACACCGTGCAGCAGCTTCTGCTCTCCAAATCGGCCATGCCCCAGAAGAAGGGTATCAAGAACCCAGCGAGGACCCCCGAGCAGCTCAAAGGGCAGCACTGCAGTCCCGAGAGCAGCACCTACTCTGCAGACCAGGTAGGCACCCCCCTGTCCGACCCGCTCAGCACCCCGCAGTCCGTCCACGCAGAGACGCAGGACGCCGATTATCTCAGCGGGTCAGAGGACCAGCTGGAAAGAAGTTTCCTGTATTGCAACCAGAACCGCAGCCCTGCCCGTGTCAACAGCAACTCCAAGGCGAAGCCCGAGTCAGTGTCCACTTGCTCCGTGACCTCCCCAGATGACATGTCCACCAAATCGGACGACTCCTTCCAGAGCATCCACGCCAGCCTGCCCCTGGAGACCTTCACCAAGTACGTGACCAACGAACGGGACTGTCCTCGGCTGCTCCTCAGCGCCCTGTCCCAGGAGGAGCTGGCCTCCGAAATCATCGTCCTGCAGGACGCCATCAACGAGAAGGCAGACAAGGCCTGGGCCAATTCCCCCATGCTCAACAAGGATGCCACAAAATCCCCCTTCCACCTGGAGAACCACCGGCCGTGCCTGGACTCCATGGTGAAGGGCGCCTGGCCCAGCCAGGGCGACTCCAGCACGCTCACTGAGCCCCTGAAGCTGGACAAGGCTTCCGGGGGCAGCACGGGGAAGGACTTTGGCGAAGAGGTGTACGAGAGCCCCCAGGTGGACTTTGCAGCCACCGAGACAAAGGATGCGCTCAAAGACGCGACCTCTCTGGCGTACAACTCCAAGCCCAGCATCCCAGCTGCTACTTCGAGCTCCGGGGCTGCCAGCTACAGCTGCTATTCGAACACCACTGCCAACTCGGTGGGGTCTGACAACGCCATGGAGCATTTCGAGTGGCCAGATGAGAGCCTCGGCGAGTCGTGCCTGAGGTGGAAAGAGCTGGGGACGGGCCTGCAAGCCTCAGACCTTTCCAAGGGCTTGTTCCCGAGCAAATTGGTGGGGTCCTGCAAGGAGAAAAAAAATGCCTGCAGCTTGGATCCGTGCGATGGTGAGCAGCCAGCCAAGAGCGAGCAAGCCAGGGACTTCAGCCAGCAGGCGATGGAGGAGGAAGAGGAAGAGACGCTGACATACGACGAGGCCACGAAGGCGGACAGCGAGCGATGGCTGCAGGACACGCGGCATTGCTGCTCGGCTGGGGACTTCAGCGAAATCCCCATGATTTCGTCGCCGGACCTGAAGGAGTCGGACCTGGAAGCGGAGGAGTATTCCTCGCTCTGCGAGCTGGCGAGCTCGGAGCAGAAGTCGGTGATTTACGACGCCTCGCCACCGAAGCCCCCGGAGATGCCCGCTGTGCTGTCCTCCAGCGACGTGCCCGTGTCTGCCGAAGAAACCGTCAGCACGGTGGAGAAGGAGAGCTCGGCCCCCTCGTCGCGGTTATCCGGCCCGTCCGTGATCCTCCTCGGCCCCGCCGTCGGCACCGAAACCAAGGTGAAGAGCTGGTTCAAATCCTCCCTGCCCCACATCAAGCCTGAAGAGGAGGCCGGCGGAGGGGAGAAAACCCACCCGGAGACGACGGACCCTGAGTCGGCCTTGTCGGTCACGGTCAAGAAGCAGCTGCTGCCCGAAAACGCGTTGGGGAAGCCGGAGCCCGTCTCGAGGGGCAAGAGCCTCCGCAACAAGAGAGTCCACTGCCGGCTGTCGGAGGGAGACGACTCCAGCAAAGCGGTGCCAAGCCCGTTTAATGATCTGCCGGCAGCTGGCGGCGTGGCCGGCACATGTGTCGGGCCAGATGGCCAGATGGAAATACCGAGCAAAAATGCCCACAGCCAAACGCCGAGGTTTCCAGCGGAGGGGTTGCCAGCTCGCATGTGCACCCGCTCCTTCACCGCCCTCACCGAGCCCCGCACGCCGGCCCCGCTCGAGGGGCTGAAAGCCCCGGCGCACCAGGAGAAGCTGGGGAAGAAACCCGCCTGCGGCGTGAAGCAGCGGGGGGGTTTCAAAGCCA